AGACGGGGGCTGTCATACGACAGACGGGGGCTGTCATATGACAGACGGGGGCTGTCATATGACAGACGGGGGCTGTCATATGACAGACGGGGGCTGTCATATGACAGACTGCTCGCCTGGGAATCTCCAGAAAACCGGACGTGTCTGGGTTGCTCCATCGCTCATCACACCCCCCTCTCTGTTACACATTTCGCTCACTCGCTGATGCGCCAGCCTGTCCCCGAGGCTGGGCGGCGCATGCCGCCAAAAGTGGCGTCGCGGAGGCTGCGACGCAGCCCCGGCCAGTCCACGGCCCCGCCGCGAACGACTGGTCCTAGGCGGTGGTGGTCGCCCCTTCGCCGGCCTGGTCGGTGACCTTCTTGAAATCGCCCCAGCACGTGCGCTTGCAGAAGTTCTTGAAGAGCAAGATGAGATCGTGCGACTCAGTGGTCGCCAGCTCCATCCACTTGGTCATATCAGCTTTGCTCGGCGACCCCTTTGCGGGGTCTCAGCGCTGATCGACATACACGTGGCCGCGCATTCGCTCGTTTCACCGAAGACGTGCGACGGCGAAACGCGATGCATGGCACGGGGATGTCGCCGCGCATTGACCCCGCAACCTTCGGCTTCGCGCTGAGCACATCCTCGGTGAACGCCGCCACGCCGTCGAGCACCTCGGAAGAAGGAGGAAGAGGAGGGGGTGATAGAAATATGAGAAGGATGGGAGGGGGAAGCTATGAGGAGGTGGAGGACGAGGACGAGAAGCTGGAGTAAGACGAGGTGGATGATGAGGACGAGGAGATGGAGTATGACGAGGAGGAGGATGAGGAGCTTGGGGGCAGGATGAGGGGGAACTATGAGGATGTGAAGGGGGAGCGGGCAGGAATAGCGGGGTAGCAGGGACGTAGTAGTGGGCACCGTCGCCGACTCGCTCTTCAAGTGCGCGGCCGTCTCCTGGGGGCAATTCCTCTTGACCAAGGTGGCGCAGACGTTGGGGGCCTCGATCTCCGCGGCGCCCCTGAATGCCCTCGTCTTCGTCTGGCAGTCCCTGAAGAGCTTCTCCATGCCATGCTGCACCTTCTTGCGCTCCAGCTCCCCCCTGTACTCGGCCTCCGTCGCCGCCCTGTCATGCGGGGCCAAGTTCTCGATCGACTTCTTGAACCTCTCCTCGTCCTCCAAGGCTTTCTGGTCATCCTTCTCCTTCTTCGCCTTAGCCTTCTCCCCCTTGAGCTTCGCTCGTTTCTCCTTCCTCTGCTCGGCCGTGAGCTTCTCGTCCTCAATCGCAAGGTGGTCCACGAGCACGCCAGGCACGCCCGGCGCGCGAGGCGCGAGTCCGCCGCTGCCAGCCGCCCCCGACGATGATTGACTCTGCGCCATAGCCGAGCCCCAGCCGCCCATGCCCTTGATTGAGCATCTCCTATGAGTACCAGCTTTTTTCACACCTCCTCATCCTCTTCCTCCTCCTCCTCCGCCTCCTCCTCCTCCTCCTCCTTCCCCCTCATCCCCCTCCTCCTCCTCAGCCTCCCCCTGCAAGGAAGGGGAAGATGAGGTGTGGCGAAGATAGCTCTACAGTTCCGCCATCGGTCCGCCGCAACGCGCTTGGCGCCGGCCACGTCCATCGGCGCCTCCTGGCACACGGAAGCGGCGTGGCTAGTGCTGTCGATCGTCTCTCCCTTCGCGTTCGCCACGTAGTGGAACTCCAACACCCCCTTGTCGCGCAATGTCTTCGACCGTTTGTGCGGCCGCGACGGTAGCTCCTGCGCGATGAGCGCCGCGTGCTCCTGCGGGGGGCGGGGCGGGATGGAGATCCGCGATCCCCGTCCTCTCGCCATGGGATTGGGGAATGAGGGATGGGACTCGCGGATCCCCCCTCTCCGTGGTCTTGCGTTTTCGCGTCGGCATCTGACCGCGCGAAATGCGAGACCACGGCGCAAAACCACCCCCCGTGGTCTCCGCGTCGTTCAGGTACATAGAGCCAGCGAGCTCGCCCTGGGTGACCCACACGTCGACAATGCCCTCCTGCCGCGTCCTCTTCGTCTCCGCGACGCTCCTGCTGGATGAGGCGGAGACGGTGTGACGGGGCGAGGGCGGAGGGATGGCGAACGAGTGAACGGGCCAGGCCAGACGGGGCCCACCGTCACCTCGAGGCGACGGCGGGGGATCAGGGAGGCAGGTTGCGAGCGGGGGGGAACGCCCACATTCGGTACACGGGGCCCCTCCCTTTCGCGCCGCCCGCGCTCGGTTCGATGACGAAGCGCATCGGCCATGCGACCTGCGACTCAGGAAGAGAAGGACGAGAATGATGCGATCACCACCCACCAAACCACCCCAACCCAACCCGAAGGCCCAAATTTACACTCGATTTCCAATGGGGATGTCGGGGAACATGAAAAAAAACATGGAATCCGCACCCCCAACCCGAAATTCTGGTCACATTCGGGTCTTCGGGTTGGGTTGGGGTGGCATGTTAGGTAGTCATGCGAAAGATAAGCAAGATGCGAAGGTAGAGTTGGCGCTGGGTGTGCATGACGGGTTTGTCGGGCAATAACCTTCTCAGAACCGCTCAGCGCCGTAGCCTTGTACTGATGGTAAAGCTGCGGCGCGTGGTTCTGGAGGAACGTAGACATGGCGCTGAACGGGCCCTTCTTCTCCTGGGAGGAGCGGGGATGATGGTGAAGATGAGGATGATAAGGATTAACAGGATGATGACGAGGAGCGAGGGTGGGGGAGCGAGGGGCGCGTCTCCCTGGACGTGCAACCTGACATGATCCCCCCCCCCCCCCCCCCCCAACTTCTGCATGTCGCCGCCGCACTGGGTGCCGAGCTTCTTGGTTACATCGGGGACCTTCGCCATGATCTGCACGGGCTCAGACTAAGCATCGGCCTCGACCTCGGGCGCGGCGGCCTTCTTGGCGCCCGTCGCCTTGGCCTTGCACTTGGCCGCCTGGCCCATCGCCGAGACCAGGGCGCGCGGGAAACGGGGGTCGGCCACGGTGAATGTCGTGAAAACCCTGGAGCCCTCGATAAAAGATGGCGACGGTCCAAGGTGATGCCCCCGTGAACTTAGGACTCGCTTTCGAGGATATATATATATATATATATGGTCACGAGTGCCTGTTTTTGTTATAAGTGGTTTGGTCATGCTCGAGGTTAGTCAGTACTATCCCGCCTCAAGGTTCACCTCGGCTCCACGTGGCCTAAGATGGCGACGGCCCCAAGTGGCCTCACTCACTGGAACCGCGACATCATTTCAGAACTGACGACGAATGCAGGCGATGGGGCCAACAGGGTTGTGTTTTTCCCCTGCCCTCATCGGTTCCAGTCGGGGGATGGGACTGAGGGAGACGCGGATAATGAGGGGGGAAAGATACGGGGGGGGGGGGGGGGGGGGGGTAAGATGGCGACGGCCCCAAATGGCCTCGCTCACTGGAACCGCGATATCATTTCAGAACTGACGACGAATACAGGCGATGGGGCCAAGTGGGTTGTGTTTTTCCCCTGCCCCCATCGGTTCCAGTCGGGGGATGGGACTGAGGGAGATGCGGATAATGAGGGGGGAGAGATACGAGGGGAGGGCGAGACGAGGGGAGGGCGAGACGAGGGGAGGGGGGACGAGGGGGGAGGTAGACCGGAGAAGAGATGACGGGAAATGGTGAGGAGAGGTCAGTCATTGCTCCCCCTCGCAGCTTGAATTCAACGGCGCGGTCGATGGTCATCCGCGACCGCGAACGCCCGCTCACACATCGCTGCACTCATCGACCTACCTTTGATTGCGTCCCGATGCCAGGGCGAGGATGCAAGGATACAAAAAATGCAAGGATGCAAACACATGAAAAACAAATCAAAAAAATCAAACGGACGTGGCCAGATGAGGTCCGTCATATGTCCGGCATTTGTCTGTCATTGTGCGTTTCTACTGGTTTTTTACAAGTAAAAGCAATCATATGGTAAGTCGAAGAGTGACAGACACTGACAGACAAATGACAGGCTCCAGTTTAGCGGTAAAAATACAGGGTATGAGCAACATCCACTAGTCCGGCATTTGTCTGTCATTTCATGGTGGCCACGAAACACTGTAAAAACACAGCTAAAATGAGGTCCGTCATCAGTCCGGCATTTGTCCGGCATTTGTCTGTCATCGGCCTCTCGGCCAGAATTTTGAGCGCGACGATGGCTCGGCCGAGCCCACTAGTCGATGTCGGGCACATTCTGGCTCGAGTCGCTCATCTGGTCCCTGAAAAAGATGAACGGGTTGATGTGCCTAGCGGCGCGGGGAGGGATCATGGGCGTCGTGGGGATAAGGCGGATGACAGGAGGATGAGGGGGAGAAGGATGACGGGATGAGACGGGAGAGGAAGATGATGAGGAGCAATCAGAATGCGGAGGAACAGAAGGATCCATAACAAGAGGAGCAAGACGAGAGCGGGGGAAGGGATGTTTGAGGGTGAGGGGGAGAAGCGACGCGGCGGGCGCCTCGCGCGGCTGCTTGCCGCCGCATCCTGCGCCGCGAACAGCTGGGTCAGGGTGGGCGGCGACCTAGGGGGAGGAGGAGGAGGAGGAGGAGGAGGAGGAGGAGGAGGAGGAGGGAGGAGAGGAGGAGGAGGAAGAGGAGGAGGAGGAGGAGGAGGAGGAGGAGGAGGAGGGGAAGGAGAAGGAGAACGAGGAGGAGGAGGAGGAGGTCGGCCTGCTGCGATCGCGAGGCGGCGGCCCGCGCGAATTGCCGAACATGAGCGCGTTGCGCAACCTCGACGGGCTCTCGACCTGCACTCCGCTGGCGTCGCACATGCACGTCAGGCACATGTCCATCGGGTTGACGATCAACTTGTCGCAGCCAGGACACCTCCACGTTGCTGATGGGCCATCGCCGCTGAGATCACCAGCTGGATCTGGGGCCGCACTGCTGGGATCCCCAGCTGGATGCGGGGCCAATGCACACGCATGATCACCAGCTGGATCTGGGGCCGACGTGTGCACATGTTCACCACCGTCGTCTCTGACCACGCCACTGGCCGACGAACCACCAGTCAGCGACCGTCCGAGCTCCTCGATCCAGTCGTCGCCAGGCGTGGCGGGCTGCAGCTTCCTCTTGGCGCGCTTGGGGCTGCTGTAGATGCTCAGGGGCTTGTCGTCCTCGGACTCCACGATCGCGTCGCCGGCGGTCTCCAAGGGCTTGTCGTCGTCGTCGGTCACCGTCGGACAGTACTCGTCGGAGCTGGACACCTTCAACTCCCTGGGAAGGCCTGGGCGCATCCACTTCTTCGACGTGATCTGGGGGCTCGCGTCGCTGTTGTGCACCGCGGACGCGGGCCTCTTCTCGACGACCTTCTGCCGCGGTTTAGCCTGGGCTCGGACACGCTCCCAAAACATATCGGTGATTATTGTGGGCGAGGAAGAGTGGGAGGACGAGGGGGCGGATGGGGGAGGAGGATGAGGAGGATGAGGATGGTGGAAGCGAGGAGGACGATGGACGATGAGTCGGAGGACAGTAGTCACCTTTGGACGGTGACATGTTTGCGCCCCGAACAACCTTCCTGGCTGGCATGGTGCGCTGATCGTCCTGGGTGAGCGTGTCTGGAATGCCGCCTGGACAAGCGATGACGGCGGTGACCTTCGCCATGCGGATCTCACTGAAGCTGATGGCCCGCCTGGGGCGTGAGCAATGCTGAGGCGACATCGCGATGTCACTCCACGGCCCCGCCTGTCATACGACAATCGGGGCCGTCATATGACAGACGGGGCAGTCATATGACAGACGGGGCCGTCATATGACAGACGGGGCTGTCATGTGGCAGACTGGGCTGTCATATGACAGCTGTGTGGTCGACCGATACCACTTGTTGGAGGGCGAATGATTGTTGCCCTGCTCTACCCCAGTGGTATCTTTGGTAGGGAAACGGGCAGCTGGACCATGTCGCGCGTGCGGATGAACATATCTATAATGTGCGCACAGAATCGTACTGGGTATGCAGCTGACCCGCACAAAGCAGCGCGGTCGCCATTCGACCACCGAGGGCCTTCCTGCCAAGAGCAGGAGGCACGAGACAACCTGGACCACACATGGGTGAGCGGGGCTACACGCGCACGAGTCCAGAGCCGAACGATTCATGTCGCTCCCCTGCCAACCCAAGCCGTCAACCCTGGCCCCACTCACCCATGAAGGTCAGGTTCTCGTCGACCCCCGTGCCCGTCTGCCTCCATGAGAGGCTTGTGCTTCACGCCGCACGTGCACGCCAGCCCGACCGCCATGATCCACCAGGCCGATCCCCAGGACCTCATCGTCTTCAGAGGCACCGAAGCTGCGTCCTGCCACGACCCTCTGAACCTGTCGTGAGCACACGCCACACCACATGCATCCGACTTCGCGAGCCCTCACAGCTGGGTAGCGGGCATACGAGGATGTCATTCATTGGGAGGGCGAGG